GGGGAGGTCTCTTTTCTGCATCTCCCAGGGAATAGAGAAAAATCCCAAGAGGTACGTATTTGAGTCCCATTCTGGAATGCTTCCTCCTATAAGACTGATTGCCCCATGACTGTGAAATAAGACATTATAACAAAAACTGCTGGAGAACCTAAAAGCTCCAAATCCCTTGTATATATAGCCAGGGATCTGGCAAGAGCCGTCCTGTTACCTAGCAGCATAAGCACTGCTTCAGGGTAAGCCAGGCAGTCCAGAGACTCTGGCTGCCATTTTCATCTAAGTAGAAAAGTCATGGTTCCCAAAATGTTCCAAATGAAACATTCAGTATATCTATGGTCTAACACATATTACCACATATATACCATACATGTAAATATCATATACCTATGAACAATACACATTTCAAATATAACGTGGTCCATATGAAGTATACTATTTGCAACATTCAGAATTTATGTTACCTCAATGCTGAAGAAAGGGGCAAACTTCTTTTCTTCCTCTCATCCTATCTTTAGTTTCGTTTACCAGGGCTCACACTTGAGATGATGATATTCAACTCCACATATTTTTCATCACCTTTTCATGCCTCTTCTTTGTTTGCATTCCCTGCCCATCTCAAGCAAGAATATCTGCAGATTTTTTTTTCAACTCACTATCTCAAAGGCCAAAGTGCTTACTTAAAAGGACAAGAGTATCCTCAGGCAACACAACCCTTGATGTCCCTCATCAACTCGAGCTCATCCCAGTCCCAGTGTTTGACTTCTGGTTTTCCTAGCACTTCCAAATCTGTCTCCCAGTATATCTATGTGTCATAATCCTTGAGTTCTACCAATTTTTAGTAAGCAAGAAATACTTCATGGAAAACAAAAACACACAAAGAATTAGGAAATGCCTGGCACTGAAAGATTACAGACCACCTTTCTCAAATTTCATAACTAGTGGTTAAATTTTGGAGCATGATAGTAGTTAAAGAGATACGAGTAAAATATTAAGATTGTTGGTTACACTGTCTATTGTTTATCATCTTTTTTATAACCAGAAATTAAGAATTTCTTTAGGAAAGTCTGTGCTAGCTACAGATGGCTTCCTAATGGAATTATACAGCTTTCAGACCTATCACTTAACCTTGTAAGACAAACAGCAATTGTAAATTTGACAAGAAATATACAAGCTCTGATTCAAGAAAGCAACTACTATTATATGTTTACAACTATGTGCTTTATATAAATGCATTATTAAATTTTCTACATCTTTG